TTCTTGTGGAAATGAGTTTTACACTAGGAAGGAATATTAATATATAAATTTAGATAATATTGATCAAAAGGTAGAGCTTGGAATAACAAATCGATATTCTCGTCTATCATGCAAACTTTATCTGTTATCGATATCTACTGTTATCGGTATCAACTTAACTATTTCTATAGAAATCCTCTTAATAGCCAATTGCTATGCTGTAACTACTTCAAGGCTCTACAGCCTTGATTTTAGAATTTTCATTGCTTATAAGGTCCACTCAGAGCTATGCTCAGGGTATTTCTTAGTCAGGCACTCTCGACGATGAATACTCTTACTTATTTTTTTGTTTTGTTGCAACTTAATTTTTTGCCTTGCATTTTGCGGTCTTGCAACTTCAGCGAGGTGGCAGCGTAATGCCACTTATTTTTATTGCATGCCATAAACACAGCAACAACAGCAACAATAGCAGCAACAGCAACAACAATGCATATATTAGATTGCTGTTTAAATTCTTAAATATTTGGTTTTATTTGCAGTTTTAATTTTGGGCAACTTATCTTCACCGCCTGACCACATAATTACGCCATACACTTGGCCTGAAGACCAACAGTCGGCACTTCAGTTAGCTGCATTGCTTTGTGGTTTGCCCAATGCCAATTAAAAGCCATGGAATTTTACAAATTAAGCCTCATTACGCACACACACACACACACATGTATGTATACACACTCGGACACACACACAAACACAACCGCAATCCTGTGCAGCTGGCCAGCTGTTGACACATTACCTCCAGCCGAAAATCCATTTGCTGGCTTGCGGCTGGCCTAATTGCCCATAATTTTGGCCGGCGGCTAAGCTTAGCAGCTTGAGGCCATTCACTGCTTGTGTGAGTTTTAATGTTCATAAAAAAATAAAATGCATTCATATGCGTAATCTAATAAGCAGCTAATAAGCCTCATAATAACTGGTAGAAATTTCAGTTTTTGGTTTGCATATTGTAATTGCAATAATTAATATCATGTGGCATTGCAATCAACTACAAATTTGAGATGAGTAAAGAAGCTGAAGATAACATTTTATACTATAAATGAGTCCCTATTGATCTAAAATTGTATAACCCATCGATTTCTTATTTCTATCTTCACCTAACCATGCAGCTTAAAAATTTACCTGTAAGACTCAGTTATACTTTAAGCCATATTTTCAGTATTTAATGTTGACAATTCTTACTTAGGCGAAGGTGAGAAAGATGTGTGTTTTGAGAACTTTACACTGCTAGTCTCTATAATTATTATGGTCTATAAGCATTACCAAGTCTCTTTTATGAGTTGGGAATTTTATAATATAATTCTAAAACACTTTGCCAATATCAAAAGTCTTGTCATAAGATGAATCAAACTTATTCCATTACGCAGCAGACAGAAATATATATTTATTTTAAATGTATATATATTTATTTTAAATGTATATATATTTAAAAAATATTATATATGTAACTTCTGAAACACGCCGCGCACAAAGCCAGCTGCCAATTGGTGTGAACTGTTTATGGCTGCTCAATGTTGTGTTTGCCCCTCAAGCCAGGCACTGGGGCGAGGTCGAGCAGTAGCTTTTTGCAGTCTCTTCGACTGTGCCGTACTTTGGCTCTAATCGCTTCTAATAACGCACAAAATTGAAAAACTTATGCGATATCATTGGGGACTTAGGCAACACGACAAGTGCAGCTGCTGGGGGACTGAACCACACTAAACTGAACTCGACAACTTGAACAACTGTGACAACTTAAAGCAATGGAACCAGCAAAACAAAAAAAAATAAATAAGTACAAAAAAAAGAAGAAAAGCTAGAAAAATGTGGATGGGGGCTAACTGTCATGATATGCCGTAAACATGGCCAGCTGTAGCTGGACCCCAAGAGCTGAGACTGTGTCTGAGACTGGACCAGGATTCAAGTCACATGGACACATATTGAACTTGGGCGGTACGACAGACCGCCGGTCCGTCCGTCCGCTGCTCTGTCGCTGTATTTGTGTTTGTTTTTGCTTTTGCACTGTGTCACTTTGGAAATTGTACAGATTGTACAACAGTTAGAGAGACAGAGAGAGGGACTGAGACAGAGTGGTAGCGAGCGAGCGTACATCGTCTGTTTGTTTTAATTTCTCTTATCGGCAGGCAGCTGCCTCTACAGCAGATGCCCATCTGCTAACAGTCACCCAGCAATTCCACACTTCGGCATCGGCTTCGGCTGCTGCCTCCCTATTCCCTACTCCCTACTCCCTACTCCCGACTCCCCAGAGCCATACAATTTTAATTGCACAATGGCAGTTCTTTTGTTTTGCAGCTACAATTTTAAAATGAATTCATGGCTTGTGCTCCGGAGCTGGCCTTTGTTTGACGGTTCGAAGTCCGTAAGGAGTTGACTGCAAATAGAACTTGGATGAGCCCAAGGACCAACGAGCTGGCTTCTAGCGGCGAGCTATTTAATTGAAACTTGCTTTGTGACTCCATTGGGCCAGCCAATAAAATGTTTAACTTTGATTTAGTTAAGGGATTTCGAATGAAATTAGCTTAACACATAATTGCGAAGCAGCAAAGCATTTAAACGATCTTAACAAAACTTCATATTTAACCATAATAAGCATTATTTAAAGAAAATAATGCCGTGAATTCGTAGCCAACTATTTTATGTATTTATTACCTTATTAATATTCTGTTTAGGTAAGGCAAAGTTTTTCAAAAAACAAAGTAAATTATATATATTGCTCTGAAGTTAATCCGCTTTAAAGAGGCTTAGGGGCGTACATTATGCTTAGATGTGGGAGACATGAGAGCCGGGCTAACAGTTCTCTGTCAAGAACTTCATCAGTTTGTTAATGGAACACTCGCATTTGGGCTCTTCTTCTTCGTCTTCACGTGGCACTATCTAGTTGAGAGCTGTTGTTGCCTTTGTGATGGTCGTAAATTCGCACACATTCTGTTAGCCTCTTAATGAGCAGCTCTTAACATTTTGTTCTAATCCCAGGACAAATCTGCCCGAACTGCGTTTGCGTGTCGTAAACATGTTTTCTATCTCAGATGTTGCCGTTGCTGGTGGCCACAAAAATCCCACAAAAAGAAAAACGGACCACAAAAATTAAACATCCCGGCCGACGACTTGGCCGCAAAATGTCCAATAAACACATTTATCTGACCCCAAAACATAAAAACCTGCGCCGTCGATAACATTTTATAACTGAGCCAAGTGCCATAACTCGCCGAAATGGCCAAGAGCCGGCCCACACAAAAGCCGAAGTCTTAGCCAAATTTTGCCCACTTCTACTAATGAATTAAAGCCGCAGTTAATAAAACTTAAGCAGGCAGCCGCACCGACAGCCACACATTGTATTAAAGATAAGAAATATTTGCATATAACAAAAAACTAAGCCACAAAACAACCAGCCATAAAAATAGACATGAAATAACTTTATATTTGCTCATAAATTCACATATTTATATATATTTTTGGGCGCATAAATCAAATTTACAAAAAACAGAACGAAATAAGATGAAAATCAAAGGGCGCATAATTTAGCATGGGACAGCAGGACTTCTACATCAAGGCAGTAAAAGTTAGAGCAATTATTATGGGTTGAAGTTTTAATGCCCTTGCAGACAATCAAATTTTATGATAAGCTGTTAAATGTATACTAAAGTGTGATCTTAGCTAATAGTCAAAGGTTTTTCAGCTAAAAAATAGTTGAATTTATGCAAACTATAAAGAATAGTCTATTAAATAGCCAAAATCAAAATCTTTAGAGAGTTGCTTGCCTAGCGAAGAACCAGCCCAACCAAGTGTGAAAGAGTTTAATCAAAACAAAAAACTCATTTCGGAACAGCTTCTCATTCCAATCGAGTACCCAGACATTTATAATATATAAAAAGGCTCACTAATGATGCGAAATTATATTAGACACAGTTTCGTAAAAAGTTATAATGCCCACTGCGAAGTGTATAAAAACCAAACGGAAAATAACAAAAGCCAGAAACAAAAACAGAAACAGAAACCGAAACAGAAACAAAAAAGCAAAAAGTGTTAATGAACAAAATAATGAGTTCCAGTGCCCAGTTTTGTGCCACAAAACATTTTATGACACTAACAGCTAAACGCCACGGGGATAACTTCAGCGGCAGCACTAGAGAGCCCAACAGAGTGAGACAGAGAAAGCGAGAGAGAGAGAGACCGAGAATCGGGCAATAGCAATAAATAATCAGCAAAAGTTTTCGTTGAATCGAATTATCACCCCCTGAGGTGCAGTTCCGTAATGAATTTGTTTTGGGGTTTTCTTCGGTACGGCATTTGGTTTCATTACGTTTTGCTTTGGCTCCATTGCGGCTGCGTGACCCAACGCAGACAGACAGCCAGCCAGCCACATGTCTCACCCCTTTCGCCCAGCAACTAACCCCAGCTCTCTGCCCATGTCCCTGTAGTGTGGCCAAGTCGGTTTTTTGATTCAGTTTGCTCAGTTGGTTTGTTTATTTGTTGATTTGTTCAGTTCTGTGTTCTGTGAGTTTGTTTGTTGTTTGGTTTTATGTTTTTTATGGTCACGTTTTTTGGCCCTTCACATATACATATACATATGCATATGTATTTGTTTACTGTATGTAAATCTGCGGGCGCATATTCATTTGATTTGATGTGTTCTCTGCTGCTCCACAATTATTTGCTGTCTGTGTGTGGCTGTAGGATTTGCGGCTTGTTTTGCCATTGTCAGTGCAATGGCCTAGATTGGCAGCTGTGGCAACAGTCGCTGCCAAGTTGACTAAATATTAAATTCAATTTATAACCTACTCGGTTAACGAGGTAGTCTAAGCAAAAGAAAACAATTTAAAAAGTAAGAATTTTGATCATAATGATCACGATTGATAATAGTATTGATGACGATAATGATAATAATGATATTGATCAGGGTAATGTTAATAATCATAGTAAGTGTAGCATTAAAAATACAATTTAGCACGATTTATTTGTATCAAAATATAAAGCTTAACTAAATTGCACGGCGTAAATATTTCATGAACACAAAATTTAAGTTTTGTTTTCAGGTTGCTGCAAGAGGTAAAAGTGGAACGTGCCGTGATTGTTGGCAAAGCAAGCAATGTATGGCGTTGAGAGCAAGAAGCACAGCTCAATGCGTGGATCGCCCATATTGGGAAATTTCTCATCTGTTAGTTCCCTGTAGCCAGCTGAAGAGAGTGTTACCTTAAGACATTTTTCTTTCCAATTAGACAATGGGCGGCGCAACTTACCACGTATTTGAGCGAGTGTCATGGTGTGCTCGGGCGAGGTGCAATTGCCACTCATTAGCACACGCCTCACATTTACCAGAATATTGGGATAGTAGCATCTGACTTTATAGAAATGATTGTCGAGTGCCATTTCACAAATATTTGTATATATATGTTTGATCAAATTTGTTAGACATAAAATGAAAATCCGTCTACACAGCCAGCTCCCTCGCAATGCACTGATAAAAACATCACAGCACTCTCTGTAAACCGGTTTTCCATAGAATGCAGCTGTTATTTGTGTCCAACACCACCTTAACTCCCCCTCCGCATGCCACATTTACTCTCTCTTTATCTTTCCATCTCTTTCTCTCTCTCTCTCTCTTATTTACTATCACTTTGGTGGTGGTTTTCTGTCAAATTGAGATCGTTGACCGTTCTTTCATAAATGGTGGTGGATTCAACGCGTGTCTAGGCTAACTTAAGCAAAGACACAAACCTCACAGTGTTATACAGTAAAAAACAAATACTGAAAATCGTTGAACACTAAACGCAAAAAACACCACGACAAATTCTTTGTCTTCATATATTTTTGATAGCAAGCTGGTCCAAGCACACACCTGACCAAGCTACGATATAAAAAACTTTTACCAACATTATTATTCAGCGTTAAAACAACAAAAAACAGACATGAAAAACAGAGGCAAACCAGATGGACAGAGAGAAAGAGATAGGGAGAGAGAAACCGACAGTTTGGGGGAAAACATGGAAAATGACTTGAGACGAAAAAAGTTGTGCTTATTTTCACACTTGCGGCAAACGAAGAAGGAAAATAATTACAAACTTTGGGGGGACGTAGAAAAAATAAAACAAGAATTAAACATGAACTAAAATATAATAGTATCAAAATACCCTTTAAGCAACAGATGAGAATTGTATATTAAAAAATAAAAATATTTTCTAAAATAAAGTTAAAATTACCTTAAATAATTTTCTTAACTTCGCCTTTAAAAGTTATACATGAAAATTGTTGCCCATTTGCGTAAGAGCATTCGAGTGCGAGTAGCCAAAGGATGTGGCAAACGAGTCGACAAAGTCATTTTAATTTAAATTGTGCAACATTTCAACACTTTGGTAAATACATTTTCACAGCCTGCCTTCAGGCGCTTTCACTGCGTTAGTTGCGTTGTCCTCCACAATGGAAATGTTGCACCGCAATTCAACACAGCACAAGGTGTATGTGTGTGTGTGTGTTTGTAGAACATGCAACGACAACTCGTGCTTCGTGCAACGTTCTTAATTTGCATGTTGCCTCCTTTTGTGGGAAAACATTTTGGCAATTCGCATATTCTGTGGCTTTTATTTGCCGCACTTAATATTATTTCTCAATTTAACAGAATTATGTGCTTAGTTTATGGTCTAATCACAGCAAACGCACATCAAATTTCAATTGCCAAAATGCATAAATGCCGCAACGCTAAGATAAACGAGAGTTTATAGCTAATTGTGCGCAATAAGTGTGGTGCTTGAGGAGCTAAAAAGAAATCAAGCGGCCTTTAATAATAGTAATGAATTGCAGCAAATCAATTGCAGGCGACTGTGGAATGCTCTTTGATGGATCAGTTAACAACTATAAAAAGGCCAACAGGTGAAAGTGAGAATACCAAAAAATACATTCTTTACCATAGGTAATAATACTGAATTTTTGAAACAGCTGAAAACTTATTCTGTTTGAAAAATTTTTACTTAATTCGAAAATTTTAGTAATTCTTTGTTTTCTTTACATTCAATGAAATGGCTTCATTGTTTCGAAAATTCCACCTACCATTCAGCTGATACTTAATATCGTAGCTTTCTAAATCTAATTCTGAAGCAGCTACCATTCAGCTGGTTCATCCGCATCATAATTTGAAGCTCATTAAAACGCATTCCCAGCTAACTGAATGGCAGAAAAATATACATATAAAAGAAAACTGAAACAAGCGAACGCAGTCAGCAAAAACTAAGCCACACACATGTGTGCATGTGTGAGTTGTAGATGATGCCTGATGCCCACTCACATACACAACACACCCACTCCTACCCACCCACCCACACACACACACTTAGTTATCTGCGCATTGTGCATTTTGTGAATAAAAATTTGCAGCGAACATAAAATTCGCAACGGAAGTTATTTCACGCTTGGAGCGAACTGTTGCCGCTGCTGCTGTTGCTGCTGCTGCTGCTTGGGTTGGCGCCACGTCAAAACTAGCTAACGAAGTAACAAACGCCCAAGTGTGGGTGAGTATGAGGCAGAAGAATTGGAGAGTCAGAGGAATTAAGCAGCGTAACTAGCTGTCAGTATATGAGGCGCTGCACGTGTGTATCTCTGTGTGTGTGCGTGCCTCTGTATATATGTATATGATTACAACGTAATTGGTTTCAAGTTGCGGCCACGGATACATGCACAAAAAAGTTGTTGCAACAAGTTTAATTAACATAAAATATGCAAAAAAAAAAACAAATGCAACAAAAACTTGCATTTAAAATCAAATTACAGAGTGCAGGCGTTCCATCTGTGTGTATCTTCTTCTATCTATCTGTGTGTGTGCACGAGTGCATATATTGCAATACAATGCCCCTTTTTGTGGCATACTTTTTGGGGGGCGCATGGCATTGGCAGCGCATAAGCTCATGGACTATTTGTAATCCATATTTTTTCGGCTTTGCCAATGCTACTTCTTTTATTTATTTCCATAATTACAGCAACAAGCAACTATTCACAATTATTGTTGTTGCTGTTGCTGCTGCTGCTGCGGCTGCTGCTGCTCCGTCCAGACGCATTTATTAATTCCAATCCATTTGCACACTTGATTTACGCCGCACATAAATACAGTAATAAATGAAGCTCTCGTAGGCACTTCGAGGCCATAACTGCCTCTTGGTCATACACATTCAAACACACACACACACACACACACACACACACACACACACACACTTATATCACACATGTTAATTTAAGCAATTTGGCATTTTGCATTAATAATTGCAATGCTCTGCAAATGGAACACAGCAATTGGCACGATTTCTTGGATTATTACCAAGCACATATCGAAATTCAATTTCAGCCCTGGTCAAGACTACAATGACTTGGCTCAAGGTAGAGTTTGGATTAGGAAAGCATTATGAGTTCCTTAAATTTTGTAATGCTCAAAATAATATTAATATCGATAAGTATTAATATTATAAGTCTAAGTAATTCTTAATATAGTTTTGAACTAAATCTATCCTTCTTAGAGTCATCTGCATTAGTTAAATTTAACATCCAGTCAAATATGTGCTCGCATCGATAGTTCTCACCTCATGTCTTCATGCTTATAATATAACACTTTAGAACACTTTACACCTTCACTAATTTGTATCATCAGGATGTCAGCTTGACTGCCGTAAGCAAAGCATCGACAGAGCAGTAAAGATATGTGAATTACAATGATTATATCATATAATATTTAGCATGCTTCAAGTTCAGCTTATCAAACGGAGTTTATCAATTGACCAAATTGTTGCCAAGTGCAGAACTGAATTTCGGCTAACCTTGCACAATTTGTTCAACTGTCAACCTGTCTAATTGAGTGTACACCCAGCACGTAAACAGACACACACCCTCGGAGCTCAACACCTGAATGCATCGAACTTTTGCTTGACAAGTCTCACTACCGCTCCCGTTCTCACTATATATATATATGTGTGTATAGCTACGTTCCATATCTAAACCAATCGAGTGTGTGTGTCGTGCGCAATCAATTTCAACTAAATACCGTCTTCATGCATAATTGCTTTCCCATGTGTGTATAGTGTGTGTATGTATACAAATATATATACACATATGTGTGTGTCTATATTCGCTGTGTGTACTTATAGAGCGTGCTTAATATGGCAATTAAAAGATGATTCCAATTAAGAGTTTACTGCGTGCATCGCACAATACACGTATCTGCCACGCCCTATTGTGTACAAATTGCATTAGCATTAGAACGCAGAGCTCTATTAATTGCCATAATAAACAGGACATGCCGAGAAATTAGTTAAATCAAGTACACATTGTAATACAATTTAAACCTCAAACTCAGTGCAACTCGCCCGCAATCAGAAAATTACTTTTGACTATCGGTCACAATAAGTTTTATTTAAAAATCGAACTTGTTTTACCTGTCAGATATCTGTGTACTGTGAGGTATAGAAACTACGTAAAAATAAATCAAAGATGCTGATTGGGTCGAGATTTACCATTTTTATCTTCTGTCCTTCATTATGATAGATATATGAACATATATATCGAATATAGCGTTGTAGCTATACCCTCTGATATTTACATTCAAGTTTTAATTGAAACCCTTTATCGACGGTGCGGGATAGACCCCTAAGACATCGGCCTGCATGTCTCATCGCCTCCTCCTTGCACACGCATAAGTGCACATCATACCCTTCCAGTTTGCTACGCTCGCAGGGTATGTGAATAATATAATTCTGCAAACCTAATCTATAATTAAATCGTGTAAACTGTCGTTTGTGTTTATACGAGCGCATTAATATTAATTGCGCTATTAAATAGCTTAATTAATTTTCCACTTAAATTACTGCGCACTTTGTAGTAATAAAACAAAAAAAAAAATAAAACAAAAAAAACCAAAATTAAAATAAATGTGAAAAAATAAAAATAAATTGTAATCTGGGACGAGTGCAAAAGAGTGGGGTATAGTACTTTAACAAATAAACAATTTACATAAATTACACAAACTTAAAATGCTGTACACATAATTAGAAATATGATACTCGACTGCATTGTGCACAATTTTCCATTGATTTATGCAAATTGCCAAACCGCAAAACAAAATGCAAATTTGTCAAACAATCGGCTAAACATTTAAAGAGTATGAGTGATGTAGTGGTCATTGCACGACTAGAGATATACCCTGTTAACAGCTTATTTAAAAATATATTTTATACAAGTGTTGATATGTATGTATGATATATGATATATATATATATCATATATATATGATATATGATATGTGATATATGATATATGGTATATGATATATGATATATGATATATGATATATGATATATGATATATGATATATGATATATGATATATGATATATGATATATGATATATGATATATGATATATGATATATGATATATGATATATGATAT